GTCCAGTGACATAACCATTACATCATCAACTGTGGCCAACCACGGTGGGAGTCCAGTGACATAACCATTACATCCCAACAATAGAACATTTTCATTTTGGAGTTGGTTGAATCCACGGATGCAGAACCTGTAGATAGGGAGAGCAGAGCCGCAATCCCTTCTACTCCATTCTCCTCTCGGGATCTTGGGCACGCAAGCACATGCGCCCAGTGTGAGTTTAAGCCACCGGGTCTGGGACTTGAACTGCAGTCGACTACGTGGAAGTCCAGCAACATAGCCATACGCTAACTGCTGGTCCCACGTTTAGGATATTTTTTAAGTCGCACAGACACCAGCCGATATCCATCCCACGTCATCCAGACTGGGGTCGGGCGGTCACAGATCAGTCGTCAGGAAGGTGTGAAACGTCCAGACAGCCTCCTTGCGCTGCCTCTCCGCTCATGTTGGTTGACCCGCTGCCTGTCCCCGGCCAGGGAGAAGCGCGTCGGGATTGACCTAGTGCATGACGAAGTGGAGCAGGAGCTGATAAAGGAGGCCGAGATCATCCGGGGCGCCCTGGCCCTCGTGACCCGCACTCTGGCGGCAACACACCCACTCATACTCTGTGTCCCCAGGTGGCCCGACACTCATGGTGTGAATGGGACACCCCCTCATACCTGGCAGTCACCCTCTGAGGGTGGGGACCGATTTACCTCATGATTATAAACTAGATATATTTCTGATATCCCCACCTTCCCATAGTGTGGGGATATCAGAAAATTCAGTGGGGGCCCGATGGCGGTGCACGGGCAGAATGTGACACTACAAGGCAGTCTCTGTGGGCAGGTCCCTGGCTCAAGACGGAGACCTTCCCGAGTATACCAGGCATGGTGTCCAGGGCCAGCTGAAGCTGGGGCTGTCCCTGGTGTCAGGACCTGCGGGAGGTGCGCTCTCTCTCTCTCTCTTGCTCATGGAAGAAATAAACATAAAAGAGGGATTTTTTAAAAAGGAAAAGAACATGTCACAGTGGAAGGGATAAGCTCGCTGTGTTAATTTGTCATCGAGTGTCTGATAGCATCTGGGTGCATGTGCTGAGGTGATGGGTTGGTGGGGGAGCAAATACCACCACCCCCATCAGACCTAGCGTCAGCCTCGTTTTCCAGGGTCTCCCGAGGACTCATCGGTGCCACCTGGGCATTGCGGAGGGGGAAACCCAGTTTACCTTCTCCCTCCAGGCTGAACCGCTCGGCCAAGTACAACCTGGAAAAGGACGTGAGGGACAAGTTTGTGGCCCTGACCATCGACGATATCTGCTTCTCACTCAACAACAACTCGCCGGACATCAGATATTCTGAGAATGTCGTGAGGATCGAGCCAAAGTAAGGGGGGCCCCTGTGGGTGGATGGCACACGGACCCCCTCCCTGCTGGCAGCGTCGTGGTGTTTCTCGGGCAGGCAGCGCCTCAGACGCGTGCTTGCAGCTGGCTGGGAGCTGGAGGAGGCAGGTGTGGGGCAGAGGCAGGTGCTGAAAGGTGGCTATGCAACACAGGGCCGAGGGGCTCCTGGGTCCTTCAGGTTAGACCCCACTTCAAGGAAGTCTGATATATGGCTCAGCTGCAGTGATGCTGGCTGCTAAGACACTGCTGCTTGGAGGCTGAGGCCATGGAGGAGGCCCGGTTCAGTTCCCAGCCCCACCCAAACAGGCTGGCTGTAGTCCTAGCTGGTTCAGAGGCCAGGGTAGGAGGATCCTGATATGCTGAGACCCTGTCAAAAATACCTGCTCCCTCCCCCACATAAGTAAATACATTTGTTTTAGAGCTTATTGCCATAGGGCATGTGTGCTTGCCAGGAAGAGAGAGAGACAGGGACAGAGACAGTGAGAGGGAAAGTGAGAAATCATTCCCCCAGGGGGAATGGCCATGTCATAATCCTATCTCCATTCTCCTGCATCTTGGGCACACACGCACACGTTTCCGGCATGAGTTTCAAGCCACCAGCCAACAGCGGTTGGCCATGTGGGAATCCAATGATGCAACCACTGTATCACCTGCTGGCGCCAATGGGTACAATTTTGTTCATCTCCGAAGAGTCTTTTTAGTAAGATAAGTCAATAAAACCTTGTGTAGATACTTTTTTTTTTTTTTGGAGAGATTTTCCCTATAGGGCGCGTGTGCTCGCCAGACACAGAGAGAGAGACAGAGAGACAGAAAGTGAGAAATCACCCCCCAGGGGGGATGGTCACGCCACAATCCCTTCTCCTCCATTCTCCTCTCGGGATCTTGGGCACGCACGCACATGCGCCCAGCGTGAGTTTCAAGCCACCAGGTCCGGGACATGAACCGCGGTTGACTACGTGGGAGTCCAGCGACATAGCCATTACGCTAACTGCTGGCTCCCTTTTCTAAAAGTTTTTTTTTTTTTTGATACAATTTTTTAAAGAAGAAAATCTGATATTAAATCTTTAAACATTTAAAATTTATTCTTTTATCTATTCACATTTTTAACCCATTGAGGATCTAAAAACATATTAAGGGCAAGCTAATAATTTACCCCTTCCTACCCCTTTCCCATTTTACACCCCTGAGATAACCAGCATGTTATCTGTATGTTCATACCAACATATGAGGAGTCGTCAAAAGTTCATGGAAAATGCATATTAGAAAAAATTGGATTTTGACAATTTTTGCACCAAAATAAACTTGTGCTTTAACTCCATTTTTTCCCACAGACTTTTTGAAGTCCTCTTTCACATCCACTCATACACACAATTCTGTTTTCTCTCGTTTGCAAAAATGACTTTATACCACGAACCTTTTCTGTAACCTCTAACTTGTGTTTTTCAATTAATATTCCATCTCAACCCAACTGATTGTAAGTTTAAAACCCCACTTTTGGAAGGAAAACATACATGTGGAAAAGTCACAAATAATAACCACACAGTTCGATGACTCATCCTTATGCGACGTCCCTTATTGCTGTAGAACCAGTTACCCCAGCCTCAGTTGGAAACAGTAACTGTGTGTTATCACTGTTTGTCCATTGAGAGCCCGGGCACTGCTTAGCGGGGTGCCTCCGGCTCAATGCGTCACAAGTGCGTAGCCAAGCTGGCTGCTGGGGCTGCAGCCTTCGGAAGGCTAGACTGGGGCGGCAGCGATCGTATGGTTATATCTCTCTTGTTGCATAAGCTTCTCCAGGGGCAGTCTCACGACATAGCAGCTGGCAATCCAGAAGAAAGTGAGAGAGAGGGACCAGCAGGTGGCGTGGTGGTTAAAGTGCTGGACACTCCTACATAGCCGACTGGTTCAAATCCGAGACCTGGTGACTTGCTTTCTCTCTCTCTCTCTCTTTCTGTCTCCTCTGGTCAAATTAAAAAAAAATAATGAATAAATAAAATTAAAAATAAATAATTCTTTTGAAAAAGAGAGAGAGAGAGGGAACATCCAAGACAGAAGCCATTGTTGTTCTTATACCCTAATCCCAGGAGTGACTGTTTGTGAGAAACGAATCAATAAGTTCATCTCGTGCTTGAAGGAAGGGGGTTGTACAAAGTGTGAATACCAGGAGGGGGGCACTGGGAGCCACCTCAGAGGCTGCTCTAATCACACAGTGAACCATCCTCTATGACCACCAAGCGGATCAGGAACGAGTCCTTCCCATCAGCCCTGCAGGACCGCCCCCCTCGCCCCTGCACGCTCCCTTTCCGATGAACGCTCCCTCTCTCTTCTCCAAAGGCGATCACTTGTCTGACTTTTAATAGGTCTGTTCTGCCTGCTTTTTATTAACAGCACCATCCACTGTATGTTTTGTGTGTCTGGTTTCTCCCAATTAACATAAACGTGAGATTTATCAAGGTTGGTACATAAAACAGCTGCTCTTTGAGCCAGTAACTTACTCATTGATTTATTTCTTGGGTGGTTGGGAAAAAAGTCGTGATGTACTTTCCTAGGTTTTTCTATGCAAAACTGTGTCATGACTTTTCTGACGTCCCAATACTTAAATCTTTATGGACTACAGTTTGTTATTGTATTCAGTGTGTTATAATCTGTTACTATTATTATTTATTCTGATGCTCACGTTGTCCCTAGCTGTGTGATCTAGACCATGTAACTTCATCTTTCTGAGGTTTGGTTTTCCTCATTTGTAAAACGAGGCTATACAGGCCCGCTGGGGGCATGGTGATTAAAGTGGCTGGATTTCATGTGGCCGACTATATGGTTCAAGTCCTGGATTTGGTGGCTTGAAACTCACACCAGATGTGTGTGTATGTGTGTGTGTGTGTGTGTGTCCCAGATTCCAAGAGGAGAATGGAAGAGAAGGGACTGCAGTATGGCCATCCCCCCCCCGGGGGGGCTCTCACTTTCCCTCTATCTCTCTGTCTCTCTCTGGTGAATGCATGTGACCTACAGCAAATGTTTTTTAAAAGGGGGGAGGATAATAAAAATTGGCTCACTAGGCCCTCATGAGAATCCAGTGAGCTAATGTTGGTAGAGTGCCCGCCCAGTGCCTGGTACAGAGTGACAGCCATTGACACAGACAGACGTAAAGATGGGAAAACATCGAGGTGCTTCTGGTGGTGGAGGGAGGCTCAGCTTCCACTGGTTTCCTGGAGATTGTCCCTCTCCCCACATCTCCCCCAGCTCCGAATGAGCTGCGAGTGAATGTGTGGGCCCGTTTCAGCTCTGTGAGCCTGGAAGAGTGGCTGGACTTCTCCAACACCAACGTGGAGAAGGCTGACAAGCAGCGGAACAACTCCCTGACGCTCAAGGCCCTGGTGGACCGAATCCTGACCCAGACGGCCAGTGACCTACGCAAGCAATGCGACGTGGTGGACACGGCGTTCAAGAATGGGCTGAAGGAGACCAAGGATGCCAGGGACAAGCTGGCTGACCACCTGGCCAAGGTGAGGTCCCTGCAGGGAGCACTGTCGGGAGGCTGCGCCGTGGAAGTGAGAACGAACAGCCAGAGGGAGGACAGCGTGGGGCAAGGCGTGAAGGCAGGAAATGGGCTTCCAGGGGCGGCTCCAGGAACCTCCACATGCTTGGCTATGCAGAGGCTCTCTGAACCCTGGCCTTTATTTCTATCTTTTATTTTTCTACAGAGACTTCAGTAGGCGTTAGTCATGTCATTGGTTATTGGTACCACTGAACCAATGAAAGCCCCAGCCCACCAGTCATGTCTCGGTCTTTGCCGTGACTGGTCTCCTTCCTGAAGCTTCCTAGGAGCTCCCAGCCACATTCTTCTCATGACTGTAACAGATGCTCTCTTATCACTCAGGAGAGATTCCAAATGTTTTAGGAGCCCTATGCCAGGACAAGAGGATGAGACAAATATGCATTTGTCCCTATCACGCATCCCCATGTTAAAGGGGAGAAAACTGAGGCTGAGAAGGGGCTCCCAAGTGGCCAAGTTGGGCATTGAAACCGGGTCGCATCTGACTCCTGAGCTGGCACCTCTCCTGTCCCCACACTGCGGCAGGAACACAAGCACACAAGTATCCTCTGGCCTCACACCGCAGGAGGGACTAGGACTGGAGAGCAAGCCTGAAAGGTAGCCCGGGGTGGGGGCGCTGGGGCAGGGCGCTGCGGTTGAGAGGAGCAGAGACTATAGCACGACAGTGTCCAACGGCAACGTAACGCAAGCTGCAGGTGTCGTTTTACTTTCCAGCAGCCACTTCCTAGAAAGGGAAAAGAAACAGGTGAAATTGTTAAAATGTTTGATTTCATATGCAATATAAAAAACACCATCCCTTCACTATGTTATGATGAAATATACATGCACACACACATATATACATAAAATATCATGTGATTGCATCACTCTCTCCCTACGTCCAGCGAGTACACAGCCCTATACCAAACTATATATATATACATTTTTTTTGACACTAATGAATGTATCTTTGACACAGCTCACCTCAGTCAGAGATGGTCCATAGCTGCTATGTTAGTGCTGGTTCAGGGGACCAGGGTCTCTTAACTGTGGGGAGGGTATAAAGAAGGCTCATGAGGCCAGTAGGTGGCGTGTTTAGGTGACTAGGCCCTACATGGCCAGCTGCATGGTTTGAGTCCTGAACCTGGTGACTTGAAAAACATGATGGGTGCATGTGTAAGCATGCTCAGAATCCCAGGAGGAGAATGGAGAAGGGACTGCAGTATGGCCATCACCCCTAGGAGGTGATTTCTCACCCCTCATCCCCTTCTCTCTCGTGCCATCTCTCTCTCTGGGTAGCACATGTGCACTCTGGTGAATTAAAAAAAAAAGATTCATATAAATGAGATGGGCTCAGGGATTGTGGCTATAAATGACATGAAGCCATGAAACACATGTGCCCTCTGGTGAGTTAAAAAAAAAAAAGATTCATATAAATGAGATGGGCTCAGGGATTGTGGCTATAAATGACATGAAGCCATGAAACATAACCAACATTTAATCTGAAATCACTTTAATACTCAGAGGAGTTGTGGTCTAAGAGTCAGAAAGCAATTATTTTTTAAAAAGTTGGATTTCATCAAGTTCAAAGACCTTAGGAGTTAACAGGGGATTCACTTAGATTGTTAAAAAAGTATGTAATTGTATTAATTACTATAATTTGCCATAAGGCACATGCACTTATCAGAGAGGGACAGAGAGAGAGAGAGAGAGGAAAAGTGAGAAGGCAAGCTACCAGGTCTGGGACTAAATTGTGGCCTGCCATGTAGGAATCCAGAGACTTAACCACCATGCCACCTGCTGGCCTCCATCTAGATCTTTTAGGAGACAAAAAAATTCAAGACCCGATCAAGAAATAGAGAGATAGCAACTTGGATGGGGGTGACATTATTATGTGAATAGAGGAATTAAGGCATGCAGAAGTATCAGGGTATTCAGTATCAAACATCAGGAGGAAAATGAGAGTCTATAAATGCCTTCCGTTTATGGGTTCAATTAAAATCATAAGCTGAATGGCCTTGCTTGTGATCATTACTGGGCAGTACCTAGCTGAATGAAACGAAGTCTTTTCATTCAGACAAGTAAGAAACTCTTTTTTGTTATCAAATTTTTTCTTTTTCTTTTTTTGGAGAGGTTTTTGCTATAGGGCGCAGGGGCTCGCCAGACAGACGGAGAGAGACAGAAAGCGAGAAATC